AGGCAAAAAGACAGGATTTATGTGGATCCCTGGATCCAGGCCAGGGTGCTTTTGTAAAAAGCAGCCATGGAAAGGGTGGAGGGTGGAGCTGGCAACGCTGAAGACACAGTTGAGATGTACTTAGGGCGGCGGGACCACAGCTGCCCCTGGTCCTGTCCAATCCTGGGGGCCCTGATCCGCCCTGAAACCACTCCTGCCCTGCCAAGCAGCTGGAGAGATCCTTCAAAAGTGCAAATCTGCTCAAATCTCTGCCTGCCTTGGGGCTTCTGGGCCTTCATAAAATAAAGCCCTAAGCGCCAACGGTTCAGTGGTCAGAGTTGGAACAACAATCTGAGTAACCAAATAAAGTAGTATTGTACTGTATAACTCATAAAATAGATACCCTCGAGTCCAGAGTGATATAAATAAATGACTGAATACATGAATAAACGAGGGAGAAGAGACGAATCTCCCATATAAATTTCCAAAAAATTCTGATAGATAACCCCCATAAAAGAAGGGGCACAACGCTCCAGTCTTGAGCTGTGCCCACAGGGACTTCCTTCCAGAGAGGACAATATGGAAAAGGGGGAAAGAGAAGCCTGATAGTGGAGAACTCTGGCAAACACGACCCCAGTCGAACAATCAGGGTCAATGCGAACAGACATAAACCACGCTGAGTAAGCACCCTTGACATGATGTGCTGAAAACGGCATTTAACCTCTGTGATTCCCCCCCACACACCCCAAAACTCTAATCAGGAGAAAAATGTCAGACAAATCTCAACTATGGGACATCCTAAAAACACCTGGCCCGTCTGCCTCAACACTCTCAAGGTCGCCGCAAACATGAAAGTCTGAGAGACTGTCACAGCCAAGAGGAACCTAAGGAGACACGGAGACTGAATATCATGTCATGTCTTGGATGGGGTCCTGGGACAGAAAAAAGACATTAGGGGAAAAAACATATGGAAATCGGAATAAACTCTGGACTTGAGTTAATAATCATGTGTCAGTATTGGTTCACGAATTGTATCAAATGTACCATGCTATTGTCCCCTGCATCAGCAGGCAGGTCCTCAACCACTGGGCCACCAGGGAAGTCCTCATAGATTTCTTTTACGCATAGTTTTAGATTTACCAGAAAACTGAGACGACAGAATAGAGAGTTCCCATTTACACAAGCGTACTGTTTCCCCTAGTATTAACACCTTAACAATAGCATGGTACATTTGATACAATTCGTGAACCAATACTGACACATGATTATTAATTCAAGCTCAATCCGTCCGTGGTCCAGGAAGATCCTACGTGCCACGGGGCAGCTAAGCCCGTGTGTCACAACTAGGGAAAAGCCCCCACTCCCTGCAACTGGAGAAGCCCGCACACAGCAAAAAAGATCCAGCACACTCAAAAACAAAGAAATATTAAATAAAGAAAATTTTTTTAAAAGAAATATATTTTTTAAAAATTCCACCAAGAAAAATGATAAAGCCCCCCAATCCTTCCAATGAGCCAGGGTGAGACAACCACCTGCCTGTGCCCTGGGCCACCCCCGCCTCCTCCACAGGCCCAGCTTCGACAGGACCCTTCAGCTTTGCTCTCATCTCTATCTTTGAGATTTCTGCAGACGCTGCACTTTCCCCTGCCCATGCATAGTTAAGTCTGCCCAGCCTTCAGCTCTCAGCTTGGAAGTCACCTCCCCTGGGGAAGCCTTCCCTGGCCACCCAGATGGAAAGAGGTTCCTCTGCCACCTGGCACCCCTCTTCTGACCCATTCGCAACTGCTCGCTCAGCTGTCTTCCCCAGCGAGCCATGAGAGCAACAGGGGCAGGGCCTGTCTATGGCCCAGAAAACCCCAAGTTCATACTACTGAACCCTCACATGCATGAATGAATGAGATTCAGAAGCATCCCAGGAAGACTGGCTCCAAGGAACAAACCCCAGGGGTGAGGTGAACCAGATGTATCTTCTGTGCGAGGTTTAAAATGTGGAACCCAGGTGACCTCAGGGAGGGGACCCTGAGCAGACGGGCTAGGTACCAGACTGTACTTAACAGCACAGTCTGGATGACATAGTTGTTTTTGGTGCAGTTTTTGTGTGTGTGTGTGTGATTTCGTCAAAAACTTACTCCAGCCCTTGGATAAGCTTGGTTCTTTTTCCTTTTTTAATGTTTCAAATTTTACTTTTTTAAAAGCTGTAACCTAAAGGTAGAGGCTACCCTGAGTGGCAGTTATGGGCTGTCATAACTTTTTTTTAAATTGAGATATAACTTATTGACTGTGAAATTCATCATTTTCAGATGTAGAGTTCCAAGACATATACAGTCATGTAACCTCCACAACCATCAAAACATGGAACATTTCTATCACCCCCTAAAGATCGCCCATGGCCTTCTGTAGTCAAATCCCAAACCTAGCTACCAGCCCTGCCAACCACCAACATGGTGTCCATTCCTTACAGCTTTGCCTCTTCCAGAATATCAAATAAATGGACTCACATACATGTAGTTTTCTGAGTCTGACCTTTCCCACTTAGCATAATATAGTTAAGATTCATCTATTTTGTTGCATGAATCAGTGGTTTGTTTCTTTTCTTGCCGAGCAGCAGTCTATAGGATAAATAGACCAGAATTTGTTTATTCATTTACCAGCTGGTAGACATTTTGGTTGTGTCAGTTTGGGGGTGATTGTGAATAAAGTTGCTGTAAACATACAAGTTTTTAGGTAGACACATATTTTCATTTTTCATGGATAAGTATCTGAAAGTGGCTTTCCTAGATCGCATGGTAGATGTATGTTGACCTTTTAAAAAACTAAAGGGCAGACTATTTCAGAACCTTACTTCTTTCTTAAACACATTTTTATCAAGCACCTACTATGTCCAAAGGCAAACCAAGAGGGTCTCCCCAAACACCCACGAATGAATGCTCATGCAATCTCACCACCAGAAGCAGAGCTCCCCAGACCTTTCTCGCTCAGCCTGAGGCCAGTAGTTACTGGAGCCAGGAGGGGCAGGACGAGGTTCCTGCTCTGCCACTAAGGAGCTGAGGGGGCTGCAGATGAATTATCCCACCCATCCGTCTGGGTCTCCAGACCAACAGAGTGGCAGGTAGATCTCAGGAGATGATGGGAGGGAAAGAGCTGCTACTCCAAGATGCACCATCCAGAAAAGAGGGACTCGGACTAGCTCCATCCCCACCTACTGCCTCCCCAGTAGTAGACTTTCTGAGGTCACAGGCTACCCATTCTCAACACATCCAGCTGTGTTTAGCTCTACACAAGAAAAGGCTGTTCAAGAACATTCTTTACAGGACTCAGTAGCTAAGCAGAAAAGTTTCTAATCAGCATCAGTTGTTTTGCATAGAAACAGGATTTCTGACTACTTGCTGTGAGGGTTAATTTTAAGCTATGACTTGGCCACAGTACTCAGATATTTAGTCAAACACCACTGTAGATGTCACTGTGAAGATATTTTTTTAGATGAATCATTATTGTTCAGTCACCCAGTCCTCTCCGACTCTGTGCAACCCCATGGACTGCAGCACACCAGGCCTCCCTGTCCCTCGCCATCTCCTGAAGTCTGCCCAAGTTCATGTCCATTGCATCAGTGACGCCATTCAGCCATCTCATCCTCTGATGCCCTCTTCTTCTGCCGTCTGTCTTTTCGAGCATTAGGGACTTTTCCAATGAAAATAGCATTTAACCCAGTAGACTCTGAATAAAGAAGATTACCCTTCATAACGTGGGTGGACCTCACCCATCAGTTGAAGGCTTTAAGACAGAAAAACTGAGATCCACCAAGGAAGAGGGAGGTCTGCCAGTACGTGGCCTTTAAACTCCAGTTACAACATCAGTTCTTCCTCAGGTCTCCAGCCTGCTGACCTGCATTGCAAATCTTGGATTTGCCAGTCTCCACATTTGTATGAGCCAATTCCTTAAAATAAATTTCTCTCTAAAGAGGCAGTGCATGCTAAGTCACTAGTTGTGTCTGACTTGTTGTGACCCCATGGACTGTAGCCTGCCAGGCTCCTCTGTCCATGGGATTCTCCAGGCAAGAATACTGGAGTGGGTTGCCATTTCCTATTCCAGGCTAAAGAGGCAGAGCTCAGAGGTATTACAGGTCTGGTTTCAGACCACCATAATAAAGCAAGTATCACAATAAAGTGAGTCACAAGAATTTTTTGGTTTCCCAATGCAAAAAAGTTATTTTTATACTGCACTATAGACTAGTAAGTGTGCTGTACTATGTGTAAAAAAACCAATGTATATACCGTAATTAAAAAAAATACTGCTAAAAAAATGCTAATCAGTGAAAAATGCTAATCACTGAGCCTTCAGTGAGTCATAATCTTTTTGCAAGAGTAACATCAAAACTCACTGATCACTTCTCTGGTGGTCCAGTGGCTAAGGGGCCTGGAGTTCCATTCCTGGTTAGGGAACCAGACCCCACATGCTACCACTAAAAGTCTGCATACCACAACTAAAGATCCCACATGCCACAACTCAAGAGTCGGTGCAGCCACGTAAATAAATAAAATAAGTAAATATTAAAAAGATCACTAGTCACAGATCATCATCACATATATAGTAGTGAGAAAGTCTGATGTGGCACAGAACCATGAAGTGAAGAAACGCTGTTGGAAAAATGTCACCAATAGACTTCTCAACTCAGAGTTGCCACAAGCCTTCACTCCGTAAAAAACTCAGTATCTGCAAAGCACAATAAAATAAGTTATGCCTGGATATGTGAATATATATCCGATTGGTTCTGTTTCTCTGGAATATGCTAATACGCCAATGCTTACACAGGGCATCCCCACAGTTACACGGAGAGTTTGCTCGCAAGGGTAAACTTCGGATCAGCCACAGGCCAAACGATCATACATGGCATCACGGGTACAAGCTGTCAACACCTTCTTGGCACTCTCCTAAATGCAGCTCCCCCACGGCTTATGGGGCAGAGACGGCCAGGCCCTTCCTCTCTGGGGACAGCAGCTAGGAGGGAGGGTTCTCTACAATACCTGCTTAAGTCCTTGGCCAGACGTTGGCAGGAGGGGACGGGAGCTTCGACTCCATCACCAGCTGGGGCGGAAGGCAGAGATGCGTATTCTGAGGCCGGAGCAGTGAGATCCACGCGGGCAGCAGCTGGGATGGTGCTGGGGACACAAAGGGAGAATTATTCCCAGTGGAACTCGGCTCATTAATGGCACATTCATCAGCCCCCCCTCACCCCTCCCAACCCACCCACACACATGGCATGGGGTATTTAAAGACCCAGCACACTGCTGGCCGGGACACCCCACAGGGTTCCCCAGGCCTCTGCTTAGACACAGTGGAGGGGGGTGCACCCTCCAGTGAAGCAGCCCCCAGGCCAGGCCGTGAATCCCCCTCCCCATGGAGGCTGCAGCAGAACCTGGGGTTTCTTTGACGGAGCAGCTGGGGTGTCAGAACACTCTGAGTTGTCTTGAGTTCTGTGTGTTTCATAGGATCATTTCTAATCGCTTTTTAATAAGCAGTGAATCTCTGTGAGTTGAACATTAAAATGCAATTTTGCAAACTCCCCAGGATTTGCCGCCACCAAATCTGAGGCTGAGAAAAGTCACGGTGGGGCGGCTGATGGGTAATCAGGGAAACTGCAGCAGGAACCTTTCGGGATGCCTTTTCGCCAGTGAAGGCCTTTCAGAGCAGAGCCCTGTCCCTGGTTCAATGGGTGAGTGCCCCCTGCTGGACACATAGGGAAACGCCGGGAGTGCAGGCTGGTCAGCAGGTGGGAAGGCAGGAAGGACGGCCACCTGCAAACACGCCCTTGGAGCCAAAAGGCACCAGGCCTAGAGCTCAGAAGATGTTTTCATTTCCCCCTCTGGCAAAAGCAAGATGAGCAATGCCGCCCACAGACTTCCAGGGAGGGTCAGCCCTCCCAGCCTCTCCAGCTGTCCTCTAGGCTGTCCAGGGTGGGGCTGGAATTAGAAGGGACTCAGCACCAAGAGCCTGAAGCCCAGCCAGAGGTCGAAGCTGAGGTTACAAGTTTCACAGCCTCGTGGCAGGGACTCATTTCTTCCCTGTGGGCGTGAGTTCCTGCAGGAAGCTCCCCCACTGCAGGAAGGTAGGAGGCTCAGCCATCCGTGTCAAGGTTCTGCTGATCTCCACCTCCTCCGAGTCCACCTACAAGGTGGCTTCCTGGCCTGAAGGATGGGTGTGGAGCCGCGTCCCCTGCCCAGGAGAGCAATTCTGAGTCCTGACCTGTCTTCACGCATCAACAGCTACAAAAACAGCAGCAACTCAACCCGGCTGATGCCCGGTCCTGCATGCCTGATCCTGGATGCCCAGGCGTGAGTGGCTCTGTTCTGGGTGCCTGACCCTGTGGGCCTGGTCCTGTGCTGGGAGCTTTACGTACGTAACCTCAGGAGCCCCTACAACAACCTCTGAGTCATATGCCATCATCCTCACTCGACAGAGATCAAAGCTAAGACTCAGTACTTGCTTTGGCAGCACATACACTAAAATTGAAATGATACAGAGAGGATTAGCATGGCCCCTGTGCAAGAACAACACACAAATTTTTAGCGTTTGATATTTTTGAATGAAGAGACTAGAATGGAAACAAATACATAGCCAGTGGGAATTTGCTATATGACTCAGGGTCCTCAAGAGCATCCCAGGTGGCGCTAGTGGTAAAGAACCCACCTGCCAAAGCAGGAGACGTAAGAGACGTGGGTTCCATCCCTGGGTTGGGAAGATGTCCTGGAGGAGGGCGTGGCAACCCAATCCAGTATTCTTGCCTGGAGAATACCCACGGACAGAGCAGCCTGGGGGACTACAGGGCATAGGGTCGTGCACACAGAGGCAGACACCACTGAAGCAATTGAGCACGCATGCACATACGCAGGGAGCTCAAACCAGGCTCTGTGACCACCTGGAGGGGTGGGATGGAGTGGGAGGTGGGAGGGAGGGTCAAGAGGGAGGGGACATACGTATACCTAAGGCTGATTCATGCTGATGTATGGCAGAAACCAGCACAACATTGTAAAGCAACTATCCTTCAATTAAAAATAAATAAGTTTTTTAAAAAACCTAAGGCTCAGAGAGGTGAGGTCACTTGCCCAAGGTCACGGAGTGGGAAGCAGAGCCAGGATGTGAACCCAGACTCTGAATCCTGAGCCACCTCCATGTCCACTTTCTAATGGACTCCCCAGCACACACCTGGAAGCCCCTAACTCCTCCTCAGTGACATGCATCACGAGGGACTTGAAGACCACGAGGGAGACTGAATTCCCTGAGAATAGGGGCCAGATCTGCCAAGAGTCATCCCAGCTGCCCGACGTCTAGCTGGGCCACCCCCAGTGGGCACTCAGACAGGCAGAGGAAGAGCCGGGAGGGGGTCCCGAAGGGCTATGACCACAGAGGCTTTGGGGAGCAGGAGCAGAGCTGGAACCCACAAGACCTTTGCCCCTGGGCCTCATGGAAACAAGGAGCAAAACAGACCAGAGAATAATGACCCCGGGTAAGTCCACAGCAAGGCAATCCACACGCGAACAAAAATTATAATGAGTTCGTGGACAGGACCAGCAAACATGCAGAGTGGGGTTACAGATGGCACAATGCCTCCGCCATTCAAATCGCTGTTTGTAACAACATGGGCAGTGGCTGAAATATTTTGTAAATGTACGTGCTCAGTCACGTCCGACACTTTGTGACCCCATGGCCTGTGGCCCACCAGGCTCCTCTGTCCGTGGGATTTCCCAGGAAAGAATATTGGAGTGGGTTGCCATTTCCTTTTCCAGGGGATCTTTTCAACCCAGGGATCAAACCTGCGTCTCTTGCATTTCCTGCATTGGCAGGCATATTCTTTACCACTAGGGCCACCTGGGAAGGTATTTCATAAAGAAACGACTCAAATGAATAATGCAAATTACTGGGGGCTGTTAAACTCCTTAGGAAAGCCATTTCACCATCTGGAAACTTTTACTCCTATTCATGAGCAGTGAACAGGCTACTCACAAACCCAAACTCCTAGTCTAAAATGTATTTTCTAAAGAAATTACACTGGCCGGGCCCCTTCCCCTGCACACCCCCTGAAGATCCTATTTTGCTGTTGTTCAATTGCTTAAGTCGCACCCTAGTCTTTGTGACCGCATGGACTGCAACACGCCAGGCTTCCCTGTCCTTCACCATCTCCTGAGAATTTGCTCAGATTCATAACCCTTGAGTTTGTGATACTATCCAACCATCTCATCCTTTGCCAGCCCCTTCTCCTTTTGCCTTCAATCTTTCCCAGCATCAGGATCTTTTCCAGTGAGTTGTCTCTTTGTAACAGGTGGCCAAAGTATTGGAGCTTCAGCTTCAGCATCAGTCCTTCCAATGAATATTCAAGGCTGATTTCCTTTAGGATTGATTGCTTTGATCTCCTTGCAGTCCAGGGCACAAGAGTCTTCTCCAGCACCACAATTTGAAAGCACCAGCTTTTCAGCACTCAAGCCTTCTTTATGGTCTAACTCTCACATCCATACAAGACTACTGGAAAAATCATAGCTTTGACTAGACGGACCTCTGTCAGCAAAGTGATGTCTCTGCTTTTTAACATGCTGTCTAGGTTGGTCATAGCTTTTCTTCCAAGGAGCAAGCATCTTTTAATTTCATGGCTGCAGTCACCATCTACAGTGATCTTGGAGACCAACAATATAAAGCCTGTCACTGCTTCCACTTTTTCTCCTCTATTTGCTGTGAAGTGTCTTATTTAATGCAAATTGAGGACAGGTGACACGGTCTGTGGTTCTGCAGTTTAGGACTCCCATCAAAGTGCAAGGAAAGGTTTCCGTCTTTGAAAACGCTGGCAGAGGGCAGGCTCTGCCGGCTCAGAAGAAGGCCAGGCCCACAGAGGAAGCACAAAGGCCAACTCACTGTGATGAGGATGCCCTGAGGCTGACTGTCCCCGCCCCTGAGAACGCCCTGGGGTTCCCTCAGTTCTCTGGCCTGGAGACCAGGGTGCCTGCCCCCTCCACCCTTCACTCCGGTGGCACCTGATCACCAGGGCCACACCCATCCTGCATTCGCCTGTTCCCATCAGCTAAAAGCACCAAACAAATGACTCAATAGCTCTCTTAAGAACGAGGGCACCCCTCCCTCCTGGTCTGCAGCCTGCCCTTGGCCCAACCCCAGAGGCAGGGAGGTCAGGTCCCAACAGGGAAGGGCTCAGTGACTCACGACTGAAGCTCTGGCACATGGGCACCTACTGATGCCTCCCGACCCCACAGAACTCCCCCTCTTCCCTCCTAACCCTCCTCCCCACCCCACCCCCAATTTCTCCACATCTTGGCAGCTGGCCCCACCAGCCATCCAGGCCCTGGACCAGAAGTTGAAGCTGTCCTGGACTCTCCCCACCATCATCACCCTATGTGCTGAGTCACCTCCCTTTTCCTGCCGGAATCTGCCCTCTTTGTCCCGCTGGTCCAGGCCAGCAGGCTGTCTGAGGGGGCTCTGGCACATCCTGCTTTTCATCCCCTGCATCCATCTCCCCCAGACACCAGAATGCCCCACCTAGAGTCCTGATGAGGTCCTTTCCTTGCCGGAAGCCCTCGCCCACTTTCCACTATCTTACACCTAACAAAATGCAGGTGAAATTCCTGGGCTTCAAAAGCTGGGGCTCCATCAGCCTGCTCTTCCCTCCCAGGGTTACCCTGTCACTGTCCTGACCCCACCAAGCCAGTCTGGGGGCTCCTGGGAGCTTCTCGCCTCTGTGTCTTTGCCCCTGAATCCCCGCCTACCTCTCTCAGATCCCCTCCTGTGCTAAGTGACTTTAGTCATGTCTGGCTGATTGGGACCCTATGGACTGGAGCCCACCAGGCTCCTCTGCCCACAGGATTTCCCAGGCAAGAATACTGGAGTGGGTTGCCATGCCCTTCTCCAGGGGATCTTCCCAACCCAGGGATCGAACTCGCATCTCTTGTGTCTTCTGTATTGGCAGGCATGTTCTTTGCTACTCCCGCCACCTGGGAAGCCCTCCTAGCTGACCCCATAAACGAGGAAGTGCTCCCAACCCCCAGCAGGGGTAATGATGCCCGTCCTGCATTGCTGGGCCGGGCTGGGCCTGGCATCTGCATCTCCTGATGTTTCCTACTAACTCATCCTCTTCTCTGATAAGAGTCTCGGCCACGGTGGT